GGCCGGCCAATCAGAGCCTCCCTCCGCAGATGGGTCCCCCCTGGTCGAGGACTTAAGAGGGCAACGCCTCAACGGGGGGGGGAGCCCCTACTGTGAAGACCAGGACTCCATGGGGGAGCTGGAATTTGAGAAGGAGGAGGCTCTTACAAGAGCAGCCCCAGATGTAGTGTTGGGGTCCCCCTGCAGAGTGGAGCCGGGGATGGAGGCCGAGAGGTTCCAGAGGGCGGCCGACGTGCTGGCTCGGCACTACGGGGGCTCTGGCTTCTTAAAGGGGCAACAGCAGACCGAGGGCAGGGCCCACCAGTTCAGCCCAGACACGGACTCCAGCACGGCCCTGAAGAGGGCGCCCTACGCCTACCCAGAGGAGGAGGACGAGATCAAGGTCTGAGCTCCGCTTCACGAGCCCTGCAAGCCCCCGGGTGCTGACGTCAGGATCTATATACAGCTGCTGGGCGCCGTTTCGGGGGCCAGAAAAATAAAGGACTACAAAGCAAAGAAAGACTGAGCTTTGGACAGGGAACGGGGGGGGCGAGGATGTTGAGACGCCTGCACGGTCACACACACACACGGGGGACCCCACGCCCCCCCAGTTCCAGACTCATTCTCTTCCACAGGCGTATCTCTACCCTCCCCGATGCCCACTCCTCCGATCCTGCGCCGCCCTCTCCCGGGAACGGGACAGCAGCTTCAGCGAGGCGCCCCTTTTCGCCGGCCCTGGGGGGGGCGTCACGGTGGGGCAGCTGTGGTTCTGGGTCAGCCGGGCCTGGGGGTGGGCGTGGCTGACAGCCGCTTGCTGGGAGGAAGACCATCACGCGTTCCCTTCTTCTCGTCCTCCTGCTCTGATTGGCTGAATCTGCGCAGGGGAGACCCCCCCCCCCACCACCACCAACAATAACCTCTACGACCTCAGGCCTCCATTTCCCTAACCTTTGACCCCGTGTGGAGGGGGGAGGTGTCACTCGAGAAGACAGCCTCTGCTTATCAACAGTCTGACCCTTGAACCCTCTCAGGCGGGCCCGAAAGAGTCCTGGTGCCGAGTCCTAGATCCCGGTGGAGCTCTGCGCTTGATTGGCTGCAGAAGCGAGCGCCAGCAGGGGCTGATGGGAAGCGCTCCCGGCTGGGGAAGTAAGAGCCCTGACTCTGTGATGCTGCCGGGTTTTGCCGCCTCGCTCCGGGACGAGTCTCGGGGCACACGTCTGGAATGACCGGGCGAGAGAGGCTCCCGACTGGCCTGGGTTTCCAGACAGGAGCTCCTGCCCTCGCCCTGGGGGGGGCGCTCTCTCTCTCTCTCTCCCCCGGGCGTGAGCTACTTCTGCTCACACAACAGCACAAAAGAAAAATCAGGCCGCAGCCCCCCGAGACTGCCCCCCGCCAGCCCCCCTGGGCCGGGCTCGGACAGGAATCGCACTGCGTCCCGACGGCGGCGGTTCTGGTTCTGGTTCGGCAATGACCAGAGGGGCAGGGCCGCAGCGTCCCAGTCGGGGAGCTGGTTTCCTCTCGGCTCCAGGAGTTCCAGAGACGACGACCAAGGGAACGAGCTGGGATCGCTCTTCCAGAGCAGGCAGCTGGAAGTCATTACCGGAGCAAGCCGAAGGAATTAGGGGATTGGGACGCCATCCAGAAGGGGAGGACCTGCAGACCCAAGCAATGTCCGGGACTGGAATTTTTCTTCTGGTTACTGTCGCTAATTTAAATGCTGATTTCCTAATGCGTTGGACAGATAAGGGAACTATGCGACCGTTGTGTTTGTAGTCATCTGTCTCCCCCTCTTTCTAAAATTCTGTTTTCTCTGTTTTTTTGTCTTGACTCTGTGTAATGGAGTTATCTCATGAGGGGTGTTCACTGCGAGGCGCCACAACACCCCCCTTCTCAGCCGTCGTAGCCATTCAGACAAACTGCTCCGCATTTAACTTTCCTAACCAAAGAAGTCTGCTGTGAAGTGGAGACTTGCGTTCATATAGCCTGACAGTGTGGAGCCAGGCTGGGCAGAGTGTGTGAGCAGAGCTCTGCAACGCCATCAGTGCACAGCTGCACCCTTCAAGTGTGGTCAGGCCATGGGGAAGCCATGACACAGCAGAATAAATGTATGCTCTATTTATGGGGAAACCATGACACAGCTAACTCAGTGGGTATAGCACCAGGAATCCCAGAGGTACAGAAACAAGGTGGTAAGACGTGATGGGAAGAGAGAAATCAATGTACAGGTGGGTGCTCTAAACCACTCCCCAGAGACCATGTGGTGTTCGAAACGCGTACAAAGACAGACAGTCTCCTGTTGGATTAAAGGCTGGACACGTTAACATGTTTAAAAGTGTAAATCGTTTAATCTGCAACTATGTAATAGCTATGCATTGTACAATCAAAGGCAGTGAATTAGCCTGGATTATTTTATATCACAAATGTAATGAGCTGTATTATATATAAATATATAACATGTATTTGGTGCACTTACGAATAATTACAGCAACAACAGTATTAATGACAATAATTATAATAAAACTGTTTTAATAAGCTTGTTACTATGTACAAGTGACAGTGTTTGGCCATTTAGTAACTCTTTCCCGTACCAGCAGCCGATGTACGTTAACACTGCAAACGAACAAACTCCTCCTTCTTCGTTCGGCGATTTGCTCTCTGGCAAGAGCCTGAACGATAACGAGCCCTTGTGAAGCTGTGGGTAAGTGACAAAGGACAAGCTGGTAACTCTCTATGGCAGGAGAAGGTCTGGGGACGCTCCTAATGGGATGCGATCTTGGGAAAAAAGATGCTCGTATTGTGGGGGCAGAAATGGCAGAAAGAGCCCCCCCTAGTGGTGGCACATGTAAGTGCATGAGCACTGTGCACACCAGCTCCCCCTGTCGGTGGACAGTCAGAACTGCGCCTCTGTCCCCTGGCTGGAGAAGGAGCTCCAGGTGCCCCCCTCTCTTCCAGGGATCCCAGTCCAGACAGAAAGAAAAAAAACAAGTTTGCATCCATCGCTGACATGGGACAGGCCAGGTCCAGACCAGAAGCAGACACACAGAGGGAAGGACCGGAGGGCTGGTTCCGGTCGGCAAGTCTCGGGGCCGCGGGGTTCTGCGCTCACCGGGCCTCGGACGACACCTGCGTGCCGCCCGGCGGCTGAGGGGGCGGGAAGTTGGGAGCTCGGACGTTACCCCTCCGGTTCGTGGCCTTCTTGGTCCCAGGAGCCTGGGGCTGGAGTGCCAGCTGCAGCCGGGGCTCGGGGGCCGTCGTCTGGGCAAGAGGTGGAAATTGAGCCTGGGGCCTGGCGGGTGCGGCGCTGGGGTACTGCGGGACGTTCGACGGGGGGCCTGTCCCCTTGCCATGGGTGATCGCCGGCCTCTGCTGGAAGGATCTCTTAGCTTTTGGAGAGAAGACACGGGCGGGAGAAATAAACAAAGGAGGGATGAAGGACTGACCTGGGGCTCCGCCGGGTCGGAGCAGCACACAGAAACCCCACCAGACGTGTCCGTGAGGATTGTCAATGTCCGGATTCTTAAAACGTGTGCTGCCGGCACGGGTGAAAAGAGCCGCTGCCGGTCCCGGCCACCCTGAGGGCGCAGGGATTCACAGAGCCAGAAAAGACACACTGCCCCCTCCGGCACAGACACGAGGCCTAAAGCCCAGGGCCGCGGTGCAGATGGCGCTGGCAGGCGGTATCATCGGAGCAGGGGCTGCCGCCACCACAGCTACCCCGTGTGTGGAGTTGAAGTGTTGTAGTGTTAGTGCACTGCCAGAGCTGTGGTACGATGACTATGCAGTGCTGGCCAGTGGGTCACACCAGAGCTGTGGTGCTGTAGCTCCAGTACGGGCCAGTGGGTCACACTAGAGCTGTGGTGCTGTAGCTGCAGTATGGACCTGTTCAGCAGTGGCAGGCTCTGTGACTCACCGAGAGGGCTCAGCAGGTGGAAGACAGGGTTGGTGTGCTGCAGGAGACTCATGTAGCATCGCAGTCTGGGCCCTGGCAGCACCGACACACAACACAAGACAAGACACAGGGCACAGCTGGTGATACACACGGGGCACAGCCTGGACACACAGAACCCGACACCACAGACACACCCACACACCGCGCACTGGAGTTCACCTCCCACCAGAGCCTGCCGAGCGCACAGACGTGTGATTTTACAGATGTGCGAGTGCACAGATGTGCGTGTCACAGCTGGCGCCTGACCCCTGTGATCCCTCCAGCAGACTCTGTTGTGAGGTGAGGAAAGCGCAGGTACTCACAGGGCTGTTATGTATGCATGCATTCATACCCTTGTTGAACCAGAGCTTTTACGACTTGGTCTATGAAAATCCAGATGCATCTGCACTACTGTATTTATTCAATACAAATAAAAAGTAGAGACTTAGGAAATTTCAATATGGACTGTAAGAAGTGAAGAAATTATCTGAATTTCCTAAATGTAGTGTTCATATTCTTTCATACTTTGAGACCCCCTGTTTGGCTTTGACAACCTTGAAGTGGCCCTTCGTGTGACCTTTTAATCAGCTCCTAATCTCCTCCTGAGGGACCTACTGCACTCCTCAGCTCCTCGACTCCTCGACTCTCCACTCCTCCTGCTCAGGTCATGACGGTCCTGCTTGAGACCGCAGTGTGCCCAGTGAGACCAGTTTCACCCAGCTGCACCGTGTGGGCCCGTGTGGCCGGGGAGGTGACTCATGGTGATTCTGGCACACTGAAGTCTCTTCTTCCTCCGCTGGCAGGGAGATGTGCTGGAAACAGCAGCATCAGGAGGTGGTCCTCGTGTGATTCCTACATGTCAATGAGCCTCACAGGCCACATGTGGGTAAAACTCTTCTTCTGTCCTCTTCCTGCCATCAGCCTGAGCCCCTCGGTGAGGACTGGACTGTCCTGTGGATTGGCACAGCCCTCGCCGGAGCCACAGAGGTCCGTACACTCTGACCCGAGTCTGGGTGAGACCGCCAGGGGGCTCAACTGGAAGGGTTTATCTTTGTCACACCGACAGGGGGTGGAGAAACCTAAATGTTTCATTCTTACAAACGTATGGAACTATTTGTTACAGTTACGCTGTCCCTTCTACAAATGTTCCTCTTTACACCTTTCCTCGTATTATTAATTTTTAACTGGATAAAATCCTGACGTACAACTGCAGTTTCTTTAGGTGAGCTTTGCCACAGTTCGCCAAGGGTAAGAAATACGTTTGGAAGCTACCACATACATACTGTATACACATGCATATATCCATATACTGTATAAATAACACATGTAACACACACAAATACTTATATACTGTGCACACAACACACATAGCACACACGTAGGCACACTCTGGTTGTCGAGAGCCCTGCTACCTTTCTGAGGCTTTGTGCCAACTCCTGGGCCACCCTGAGGCAGGGTGGGGCTCGGCTCAGGTGGGCTCGTCTCCCGGCTCGGTCTCCTTGGGGCCTGGGTTCCACTGTGACTCTGGGCTGGGTTCTGGCCCGGTGGGTCGGAGGAGAGGGGCGCCGTGGGGGCCGGAGCCGGGTTCTCCCACATGCTGGTGCGTCGGGACACTGAGCCCAGCTTGAGGACGACGGGTTCGGAACCGCCCTGCTGAGGGACAGGCGCCGACTCCTGGGAGCTGCAGAGCGAGAGGGTGAGGCAGAGGGGTCAGGGGGTGACCAGGGACGCAGAGATTAGACAGAGAGAGTGGGATCAGGGAAAGAGATCGGGGAGAGAGATTGATAAGGGACAGAGGGATTGAACAGGAATAGAGAGGGAGGGAGATTGATCAGAGAGAGAGATACAGGGGAGAGAGACGTCAATTAGTGAGACAGGGAGGGGGGAGCGATCAGGGAGAGAGATCAAGCAGTGAGAGATCAGGGAGATGGCGAAAGTGACAGGAGAGAGAGGCAGGGGGAGAGAGAGTGAGAGACAAAGAGGGCAGTGAAAGAGGGAGGAGAGCAGGATGAGGGCAGAAGGAGAGGAAGGGGGTGAGAAAGAGAGGGCGAGTGAGCCGCACTGGGGTCCCGTACCTACGGGAGGGGGTGGGGGACCCCGGGGGAGTGAGGGGGATCTCCACAGACTCTGTCTCTGTCTTGGGGTGCTGTGGCTCTGGAGCACCCTGGGGTCCCTGGGTCTCAAAGTCCACCTCTGCATCAAGAAGGAGAGACTGGAGCAGTGGCTCTTGTCCAAGATGGGGTACAGACAGCGCCCCCAAAGCCATGCACAGAGGCTGAGGAACAGACACACGCACAGCGACACTCTCTGAGACGTGCTAACACTGTTGCACAATCTGACGAGTACGGAGGGCTGAGAAACACACAGGCATGAGGACAGAGATCCGCTCGTAGATAAACAGTCCAATAGAGAAGGACAGGGACAGACACCTGAACAGGGTTTCTGGGAGACTGGGAGACTGGGAGACTGGGAGACAGGCAGACAGGCAGACAGGCAGACAGGCAGACAGACAGACAGACAGACAGACAGACAGACAGACAGACAGACAGACAGACAGGCAGGGTACCTCCTGGGAAGAGATCGTGTGCGAACTGAATGAGGGGCTCAATCACTGTCACCAC